GAAAATGTTTCTTGAAATAATAAGTTAAGAGTGAGCATTTTCCATCTGAAGATAGATGCAATTTAGAAATAGGCAGTAGACGAAACCTTCAGTGTAATAAGTTAACTAAGCAAGATTTGCGTCTGCGTTTGAAAACCAGTTTTAATGAGATATAAACATTGGACGAAGTTTTTCAATTTGATTTAATAGTTAATTAAAATTTTCGTCTGAGATATGAATAAATAGAGCAAGTATTTTTATACTAATTCACTTAGACTAAGCTACGTCCAGTCTCCTTCAACTTGAAGGGTTCCACTAGATATTCAATAAAATACACCAAGTATTATCGACCACTTTTGGCCCGCCAACTTCACTCATCCGCGCTAGTATTATTTATTCAGCCTCTTCAGGCTAGCAATGAGTATTATGGATCACTCAGGTCAGAACCACTCCTGGTCCAAGTATTCTCGACCACTCCTGGCCCGCTAACTTAACTCACTAGCGCTAGTATTCTTTGTTCAGCTCTGGCTCTCAGTGAGTATTCTCGACCACCTCTTGGCCCGTTGACTTCACTCATCAACGCTAGTATTCTTTGCTCAGCCTCTTCAGGCTTTACAATTGATGAATATATGAATTGGTTTGAGTGTATGGGTTACTCTCACAGAGAGGATACATATGTTTTCTACACTCACTAAGGTATGCAACCTTAGTTCTACAGAGATTGGGAGTGTGTGGTTTACTATCATAGAGAGGATACATAGGTTGCTACACTCACTAAGGTTTTCATTCCTAAATTACATTTAGAACACCTCAGTCTACAGAGATAAATACAATATTACATTGTATATTTGACTATAGAAGCTCGTCTTTGATTTCTCTTATTTTTGGGCTTGCACTTCACTCTTGTTCAATGTTTATGCTAAAATCACAGGGTGAAAAGCCAACCTTTTCAGGTTTGAGGTTATGGCATATTTATAGTCTTGTAGAATCTGACCGTTGCATATGTCTGTTGAAGTTGATATGGTCATTCATGACTGGTTCGATAGTCTCATTTAATGAATTTGATCTTGCATTAAATGTTGCTTCTGTTTATGGACATTGCGTGAGTACTATTCCTGACTTTAGCAGTGGTCTAGGAATTTCTGTTCTCTTTTCGTCAGTTGTAGTTGTAGAGACGTTGTCCTTTTGCTGAAAAGTAGGTGTACTTTTTCGGACACACGCATGCTTTTTCGTGCTTTCTTTTCTTCTTTCTTCTTCTCTTTTCACAATTTCAAAGACTTTGTGTGTTCTTCTATGAGTATAAACGATATTTGACTTGTTCTTTGAGGCTTGATTCTTCTCGTGCTTATACTGTTCTTCGTCTAATTATTTTGTTGACTTCCGTTTTGTTTGACCAACTTCCATCTGAGTTCTTATGATTTGCTTTGCTTTGACTCACATTTGTCTGATGCTTGAAGCTTTGTTTTGACTTGTCTATATGAAGCTTTTGTCTGTCATCTTGTATTGTCTGATGCACATGCTTGTTCTTCATTTTGCCTGAACTTATGTTTTTCTGAAACACTAACACACTTGTTAGAGATAACATGTATTATATTTGTCTCATTCAAAACCTTGCTAGAAATTGCTTTGTCTGACTTAACAAGAAGGACCACAATGAGTGTCCTAAGTGAGTCCGCACAGAGACTACCCCCTAGAAGTACCTGCCATCTTACTTAAGTGAATGTGTTGCTTACTTTGGGCTAGCTAAAATTTGCTTAGAGTGAGCACGAAATGCACTCTAAGCGAGGTAAGTCAAAGACAAACCTCTAGAAGAATCAATTGGCTCGCTTAAGTGAACCATGTAGACTCTCTAAGCAAGCATGCACAAAAAAACCACTTAAATTATTATAAATTAGAGTTTCACGAGAGGCTTTATATATATCTCATACTTTTACGATCATAACTTTGAGAGATTAGAAAGAGTTTTTGTGAAAGCAACCTTGTAATCACATATCACTCAAGGATCTATTTCTTTCTTGAGTGAAATCCTTAGCATTGAGTGGGTAAGTATCCATTGTTGAAGATTGGTGTAGTTACTATACTCATGTAATTCTCGCTGTTATCATTCAATAAGTATCTTTATTTAGTTAATCATTTTTACTTTTTACTTAATGTTTGTTGTGGTGATCAACCATTGCATGATTTTATAATTTTATTTGAGATTGGAAAACCTTATCAGAATTTCGATCTAGATAAAAGACTGATAACACTTATTACTATGAATAAAAAAAAAGCCTTATTAGTTAATTTTCAGGTTCTCAATTTTAATGTGGGTTGTTTAACAAATTTTTTCATGGAATTAGAATTTTTCTTAAGGAACTTAGAATTTCTCATCTAATGAATTAGTGTTTAATATATTTGAGGGTAATTGAATTAACTATTTAAAATTTGAAATTCAATGAAAATTTAGGAGGATTTGCATGAAGAAGGTTAGTGAAATCAATCTTTAACTATCTTTATTATCTAAATTTAAATTGCTAATTAATTATTTGGATGTTTCTTGATGCTCATAATTTTATAAATTCTTATGCATTGCCTTAAACAAATTAATTTTTTTAAAATCATTTGTTTAGTACTAAAATTAAATTAAACAATTGTTACACAAGTTTATGTGGATTCGACACTTGGATTTTTATCCAATTTATTACATACAATAATTGGTATACTTGCTAATAAATGCATAGCAATAGCCTGAGTTATACTTTACATAAGTGGTAATGAATAAGGCACAGAGTACGGGGCTATAATCCTTAATCGAGTGTTGGAAGGGTGTGCGATACTGAGAGAATAGGCAATGAGATAATTTTATTAGGCCTTGGTTGATACATACCAATGTCATTGTAGGTTCACACTCAAGTTGTATTATTCTTAACGTACGAATGTATTGGACCTTCCTAGTTTAAGTGACAAATTCAAGAAAGCAAAATAAGTTGTAAAACAAGTCATGCCTAAAGTTATTTTATACTTGACGTAGAGATGACAGATCTAAAGTTGTGAGTCACTACAGTGAAGGCATCTAACATGCTTACTAAGTTATAGAAGATCTTCAAAGTTGAAAATATGTGATGACACATAAGTTGTTAAAGTTACATAACAACTTATTGATGTTGTATAAGTTGCTAAAGTTGAAATGTTGAACATGTTGATTAAGTTAAGTTTATGAAGTTGTTGATGTTTATTCAAATGATGAAAGTTCTAAAGTATGATACTATATTTTTGAGTTGGATGTTGCATTTTGTAATTAAGTTGATTTATGATGAAAAATCATAAGTTGTTAACGTGTATATAGTTAGCTTTCAAAGTTTCCTTACATGGGGTTTTCGATATACAAGTTTACCCTTATTTTATGTGTGTTAGAGAGTTATTATCGTACTTGGTATAAAAACATATTAGGATTAATAGGACAACGAGCTTGAAAGTTAATGGAAATATATATATTGGTGATGGCTTTTGGCTGAAATTGTTTTGATACAACATGTATATAGAGTTGGTTGATTAACACCTAATATTGTGTTTTACCTTTCAGCCCTTGTTGGAGTTGTAGATATTTGAAAATAATTAATTTTGCATATATACACTATAACTTCATACAGAGCTTTATGTTTTCAGATATACGAGCAAAATCTATTTTTATGTTTTCTCGCATCCTATTTATATACATTTTTGCATCCGTATGTCTAGGGATTGTTTAAATGATAGTCTTAAGGTAGAAGATTTATATTTTTCGTTGTTTGTATGTTATTGTGTTGTGCGAAGTGTGACAGCCTCCCATGTTGTTACAAGATTGACACATGAAAAATATATTGACATGATAATATTAGTGATATTAAATAACATTAATGATGTTAAATAACATTAATGATAAACATCAATTTCATCCACGGAGTATCACATTATATATTACTTCATTTCTAAATTATATAAAAATAATAACAATAAGTTTCTCTCACATCCAACAATATTGGTTCCTATAGTTTTTTTTTTAATAATACGATTCCTATAGTTAATAAAATCATTTTCAAACGATTTAAGTGCCACATTAATTGGCACATTATATGCGACTTAAATGACATTTTTTATGTTATTAATTAATTCATACTCATACATTATTTCCTTTTAATATGTGTATTAATTTTATTTCTTTAAATAAAATTTTGTCTTTACTATTATATGACAAGGAGTCAACCCTTAACAGTGTAATTAAAGGGTCCAACTATATGTATTGCAACAATTAATGGTAGACTTTGTTAGTTTTAAAATAGAATCATTATTTGATCGATTCTACAAAAAATACATATAATAAAATATTATTTAAATTACAATGTAATAAATAATGGTAAGCTCTCAAAATTATATCTATAAAAATAGTAATATTTATCTTAATTTTTTTGTAAGATCAAAATTGATAAACATTTTTAAAATAAATTTATAATAAAAATTCTCCCTACATAAAAAAAAAATATGATAAAAAATTCAAAATAAATAATGTTTGTGGTACGAAATAACATATAGTCATGTATAATGACCATACACAAAAGATTAATTTAAATTAGAAGTTCATCTCCTATAAAATTATAACACTGATTAATTGGTGCCTTCATAACTTAATCTTTTCTTATATACTTTTTAAAATTTTCTATTATTTAATCATGGTAAAATATATTTTAATTTAATTTATCCCACAAAAAACATGTTGATATCGTAATAACTACATTGTTTTATCTAGTAAAAAAATATTTATCATGTTGTGGTAATTCAAAGTTGAACTTTGATGGATAAAAAAAAATGTTGAACTTCGATCCTCAAGTGGTAGAATTTCTAAGACAAAACATATGATAGTTGTTCACTTGTTTGTAACCACTAAAAAACAAAACAATAATTGATCAGTAGAGTTGAAATTCTCACATCGAGTCATGGCACGTGCTTTTCGATCCGTGTGCTATTTCTATCATGGCTCTAACACCATACACTCCTCATATAAAATGGACTCCACTTCTACTCTCAACATCACACAAACAAACTTTGCCAATTACCCAACAACACCTGACTTGCAAAGGAAAAAACGATTGTGTCTTCCTTTGTTTGTGATTGTGACCAAACATCACTCCAACAACATCAAAGTGATGGAAGCCCTCAACAGCTATTGCTCCAAGGCCATGCTAGGAATTCATGTTCCTAAATGTTCCCTTATTGATTCTAAGACAGCCAAATTTTCCTTATTCCTTAATGACAAAAAGTGTTGCAACTTTAGCTTCTCCAAACTTGTTGAGAACAAGGGTTTTTTCCCTCTTCATGCAGTGTCATCCAAAACTATGGTCCTTTCTTTTATTTATTTTTTAAACTTTTTTCCTTTCTTTCCATTTTTTTTAATTGTTATAATGATTTTGACCTTTAAATTAATGCATTTTTGGTTCTTAAGGAGGGATGTACTATTTTAAAGTGTTAAAATTCTCCATTGCCTTTTGGAGTTTGAGAAGATACGAATTAAACTAGTCATTTTTCTATTATTTGGAGAAACTTTTTATGAAATCATGAAATGGTTAATTATCTCAAGTCTGATTGCTATATTGGATTAAATGAAATGAGTGGTCATGAGTTTTGGTAAGTTAATTTAATGAAATTTAATTTTTGTTTGTGTAACATGATCCAGGTGGAGTTGGACAGTTTGGAACTCCAAGCTGATCAAGAACAACCAAGTGAGTTCTAAGTGTAACATCTTGTAGGATCTTTCCACCAAATATATTTTTATAGCTAATTATAATACTAAAAATGTTGATTTGTTGCGCAGTAGAACGAAAGACTGTTAATGTCAAATTTCAGTTACATTGCACTTGTAATTTTGGGGAACAATTTCTCGTAGTTGGTAATGATCCTTTGTTTGGTTCATGGAACCCTAAAAATGCCATACCCATGACTTGGTCAGAAGGGCATGTGTGGACTTTAGAAATGGTGAGTATTATTAGTATTGTTGTTATTATTATTATATGAAAAATGTTGTGATGCAAAAGTTATTAAGTGTTGTCATATTTTATGTAATCAGGGTGTACCTATTGGAAAATTCCAATTCAAATACATTTTGAAAAAAAGAGAAGGTGACATTGTTTGGCAACCAGGTCCAGATAGAATCATCCACACTTGGGAAGCAATGAATAAAATCATTGTTCATGAGGATTGGAACAATGCTCAACTTCAGAAAGTAACAGAGGATGGTGATGAATCAATCATTTCAGAGAAGTTAAATTCTTCAGAGTCAAACTTAGAATAAGTATATGTCTTCATTAAACTGATTAAAGGAGTTTAGCTCGAATAGTTTAATAGAGTGCATTAATTATTATAAGGTTTTGTGTTTGAGTTTGATTTTAGTAGTTAAAAATAATATTCTCTCCTTTGAAAATAGATTTCAAGCTTCTAGACCTAAATATTAACTAGAAAGGCTTTTGTGTGGCACTCAATCTAAGGGTGTAATGCAAATATTCACTCATAAAGAAATATTTATAAATCAAAGGGCTTGACTTAAATGATCATTATTATAGGTAAAGAAAGTATATTTTCTTCAAGATGTTATATATATCCACTAGCCATGAACCATTGTCAATTCTTGCGGTTAAATTTTAGAAAAAAGCAGCATGTAAGAATAATTTAATAACATCGAATGATATTTATAAATTATGCTATGATAAACATAATTAAGTAATAAACTATATGTATTATGTAATAGTCTCGACCTTGATTAATACTTTGCAATATTTATCTAGGTAGTTAGTTGCACTCATTTGTGTCAGAAATACACTTACGGTGTATATATAAAATCTACTTTCAGAATAATATTTAGTTTTGTGGCAGTATTATTAAAAGAATTCTAGACTACGCTCTACAATATTACACTATATTGTTTAATAAATATTTGAAAATATGTAAAATATTTATACAAGATAGAAAAAAAATTGAAATAATATTTTTTTTTATACTATATGATATATTATAAATTAAAGTTATATATGTAGAAATAAATACAAAACGTTGTTTTCTTACCTAACAATTTAGAATCATAAATAACATCTCACTGTACATTAGACATATCACTTATCAAAAAATTACTTATTTATTTCTTAATTAATTTTATTTAATTAAAACATATTTCTTTTTTGCAAATAAAATGTAATAAAAGAACAATGTAAAGATATGAAGATAAATTGGTCAAACTAGTCACTATAATCATAAAGAAACTGACACATCAACGATTACATCATGAAATAGAAATATAAATAAATAAATTAACACATTGTGCATATATAGGTTCCCAGTGACAAATAAAATACCTATAACAAATCTTATTGATCAATTTTCTAAACCTCTAACTAGTCATTCCACTTGGCGTTACCAAGGTAGCTCTCAACAAAATCAACCAAGTTGTCGAACATATATGAGCTTCACTATTGGTTTGGTTCCATATTTGCAAAACACTTGACATACATAAGACACAAAGAATATGGAGTGGAGTGTTTGTACTTTCAACCTCATTTATATGGAATAAGTTGAGACTTTTTCTCATTCCAACACACAACAAGAAACAAGAAAGACCATAAGGAAAAATCTGAGTTTTAACTAAGTTCTTAAGTCTTTCAAGATCAACCCTTTCATATCAAAATTGTCATATGGATCCATACTTTCATATCAAAATTGTTGTATGGATCCATATCTAAATACTAAAATTTGAATTAAAAAAGATAAATTTTTTAAAAAAAATCTCCCCTCCTCTCTATTTCCCTCCAACCAAACATTGTTACAATTATGGGATACTATATTTACTTGAATTTTCACATGAAAAAGCCTATAAATGAGATGTTTGTAGGTCTTAACTTGAGAATTCACTGGCTTATAGCCTTGGTTTCACCAAATAATGTTATGAATATAAATGATCCTTTATTGCTCCTTAAGCATGAATTTGATGATAAAGACCAAGAACAAGAAGTTTCCACAGAAGGGAAAGTGTTGAAAATAAGGGTATCATGCTCTACAACTTTACCACGTGAAAAGGTGTTATGATTGCAGTTGTCAACAAATTGAATGCAATTAAAACTCGTATATAATATTAAATTAATTAAAGTAGAGTAGGTAAAAACCAAAATGGAAAAAGGAAAAAACATACGAGTTTGTGGTACACAAACTCAAAAATTGTAGTGTCGTGTTAAATATGGATAAATGATTTGGTAATCAAGTGTTTTTTTTTATCACTTTTTACATTTATTTTTGAAATATTATATATATAGGCATTTTGTTTTTATAACTTTTTATATTATCATAGTAAGAATTGTACTAAAGATAATATGAAATACAAGTGGGAACAAACAATTATTGAGAGAGTTATAAAATTCTTTACCTAAGAAAATAAGCCTTCATAATTACAATATTAATAAAAAAAATGAATTGATTGGAATTGGAAATAATGAATAATTACAATATTAAAGAGAACTATTGAGTTTTTTTTTTTTGCTAGGGATTTAGTTTTTTTTGAAAATTTTGTAATTAGAAGGCATAGTTGTTGTATTTTAGCTTTCTCCCTCTGCAATTGTTGGCTATATATTTCTTGTATAGTTTCATACAAAAGTAATACAAATGAAAATATTCTTTTTAAATCTGAACTTGGTATCAAAGTAAGGTCCCCAAAACCATATGAGCAAATCAAATTTTAGAGATGCTAAAACCAATATGAGTAAGTCTACTCATGTTCTAATTATTATCCAGTAGAGAGTTCATCCTTCAATGTAGATATTATTCTATGAAACAAACTATGATATGTGATTTCAAATTATGGAGATACATCTTGCTGAAAAGGGAAAGCTCTCACTTGTTTGTATGATATGTAATATGTAATAACAGGGCTAGCTCAAAGCCCAAGTAGGTAAAGCAAGGGCTTTAGGCCCCCAATTTTTTTTAACATTAATATACTACTATAAAATTAAAAATATTTAATTTTAAAATTACACCTAAAATAATTTTTAATTAAAAATTTAAAATATCTTTACTGACGGTTAAGTTTATATTGGTACTATAAATACTATATAATAATGAATATATTTTTGAAATTTCTCCTAATCAATAATAATATTTTTATTTTTTAAAAAAGATATTGAATAGTTATTTTAATAGGTAAAGAAACCCTAAAACTCTCTAATTTTCTATCTCTTTCTATTATTCACTTCTATCTCCTTCCTTTCTCTTTCTTTGAGTCTCTTTGACTACTCCTTGGCTTTTTCTATATTATTGCTTCAATTTGAGTTTTTGACATTTACTTTGAGTGTCATTAATCTATTGTCCAATTGTTGCACTATTGTTGTGTATTTTTGTGTGTGCCTCTGTTTGGAAGGCTTGGAGATAAAGGAAATTGGAGTATGTGTTGACTTTTATTCCTTTTGGGTGCATGACTGTGTCAGTATTAGATAAAATCTAAAAATTAGAACTTGGTGTATTGTTATTCAGTCAATTTCTCTTTTGTCAATGCTTGTTATATGTTCTTTTATCAAATTATCATGTTGTCTTTTCTGTTAAAAAATTTTTAATTTAAAAGTTTGAAACCTAAGAAAGTTTTTTTTATATATATTCTATCTTAATCCTCAATTGCGAGATTGATGAATTGATCAAACATAATTTTTTATTTTTTATTTTATTATTTTATTATTTTATTATTTTATTATTTATTTAATCTCAATAATTTGTGCAGATTCAAGAAAGAGCATTAGAAATTTAAAATTTTTAAATTAAATTTAAGTAGGCAAAAGGAGACTTGAGACTTCAAGATAAATACTACAATCAAGTTTGGTAGTTGACAATTGGGTTTTATTGTTTTAACTTAGTCTTATTTTATATACTTATATTTAGTGTTATATATTATAATTTTTAATTTTGTATAAAAATATACGAATATGTCAACTAGAAAAAAAAAAGAAAAAAAAAAGAGAAAAGTCAAGGCTATAATTCAATCACAAAAAGGAGCTACAAATAAATTTATAAAAATAAGCAACAAAAAAGAATTAGAAAATATTGGTGGGTGCTCTTTGAATGAACAAGATAACAATATAGATATAGGTGAAAACAACAATAGAGAAGTAGTTAATGAAGAGGATAATTCTTATTCTCAAACTCATGATAACAAGGAGAAAATTATAAGAGTAGATGATTCTACTCTTAGAAATATATATGATCTAAGTCAATGGGAGAATATTGATACAAAATTGAATGACTTATTAGTAAAAAAAGGCCTTATTAAAATAACTAATGATATAGATTTTTCAAAGAATAAATATTCTAGGCACTTTTCTTCATCAAATTACACTAAAAAATTGCCTAATGGAGAGAAACATGAAAGAAGATGGCTAATTTATTCTAGATATTTAGATAGTCTTTTATTTTTGTTGCAAATTGTTTAATATTGTTTCTTGCACAAGTAAACTAGCTAATTAAGGCAGTAGAGACTGGAGAAATCTTAATGCTAAGTTAAAGAGCCATGAAATAATAGATGAGCACATTACTAGCATGAATGCATGGATTGATTTTGAAATGAGATTGTCAAAAAATAAAATAATAGATACACATGTTCAAGAACAAATAAATGGATATAAAGAACAATGGTGTTGTTATAAGAATTCACTTACAAGAAAAATGCAAATTTCTGACGGACATAATCTATCAATAAAAAGGAATATCCATCGAAAATAGAGAATTTCTGACAGATGCCAATTCGTCAGGAAAAAGGGGCGTCGGAAACAATTTACTCTGTCAGAAATTTCTGACGAATATATCCATCAGTAATTTCTAAAAGATATATTTGTCAAAAATTACTAATGGATATATCCGTCAGAAATTACCAACAGATATATCCATCAGAAATTGTTTGAAAATCTTTATGTGATTCTGACAGATAAACCGTTAAAAAATTTCTGTTTAATTTTAATAAATTTATTAATATAATACCCTTCATATTTGGCCTATCAAGGGTTCTATTGTCCTTACTTGCACAATTTCTAGAAACTTCTCATATTTGACCTCTCAAGGGTTCTATTTCATGACACTTCATTTTTCAGCGTATTTTATCCTTACTTGCACAATTTCAGATAAATTTCTCAAAAGGTCACCCATCCCTATATTACTCCAAGTCAAGCACGCTTAATTATAGAGTTCTGATGAGATAAGCTACCGAAAAGTAGATGCATGTTGTGAGTATATGTAGTACAAATTAATTCATTTAAGTCATCCTCAATTATACAATCTCATACTTGTACTATCTTTGAATCTCTCTCATTCCAGTGTATATAAGTTTTTATAAAAATATAATAATATATAATAATTATATTATATTTGATTAATATTTAT